AGAGACATTTTTTCCCGAATTTCAAGAGCCGCGTGCGGCTCCAGAGCCTGCAAGTTGCTGACCCCTGGTCTAATCGAATCGCTGCCCTGAGTCAAGACAATTGCATTGAATAGATGCATTGTTCCACCCACTAATCTGAGTGAAACCTCAGCTAGCCGAGCTAATCGGGGTGGGGGGGGGCTAGCCTGGCTAGCTGAAGAGTCCAGCTAAGCACGATCTGAATAAAGAGTAATGTATAAAATAACAACCGTGTGTGCTGCACAGTAGACGTGCACCTATGTAATGCAATGTACTATTGTGCAGTGTTGTCCCAGGGAGGGGTAGTGTAGCGGTTAGTGCGCTGCGCTATGAAACCGGCGGGCAGAGTTCGATTCCGGCTCGCACAACCAACAGCGGTGACGATTATCTGAACCGGTACTTGGCGGCTTCCCCTAGGTCGTCTCGGCCTCAAATGAGTAACTGGTGCAGTGTGCAAAAACATCGCCACTGGGGAGACAAATGCGACCGGGCGTGGTGCTGGACAGCCACCCCGTCGTGTGCTGTGCCTGCCTTTATAGGTGCTACTCGCTAACAGCACTTGCCCCAACAATCTGTTAAGGCTGCACGGGGGATCTTTGTCTTTGTTGTCGTACAGACAAAAAAACAACAGTCTGCTGTGTACTTTACATATGTTGATGTATTTATGTGTGTGTAACTTATACACAATCTAATGCGATCTCGTACATTTTAATGTGCATTATGTTAATAATGTACTCTAAAGCATACTGTATGCGAATTACATTATTCACTATATTCTTGTATTTAAAATGCATGGGATGCTTTATTTGTTTAGTTGCCAGCCTGCTGGGCTAAATGTGAAATCTGGCGTTCTCGCGTCCCGCTAGTGCGGTGATTATCCTAGTTGGACGATTTCAATTGGGCAAATTCTATAGCCAAACACGACCTCAAAAACGCATATATTGCACAGCCATCTTCAAACTTTGACCAAAAAAAGCCATTTGGAGGTACAACAACAGGAGTGCTCGTCCGTGAGGCGAATCTTTTTGAATGTCGAGCGAAAGCTTTGTCCATCCGCACTGAAGCAAGATGCCAAGGAGCAGCTGCAGCGCTGACCACGGTGGGCCACAAGTTAATGTTTACTCCCTGGAAGATGATTAGACACACCGGGGTTTAGTATTAGCGCCGTCCCCCTTATGGCAGTCGATATTACGACACTGCCCGCTCTGCCTCAACAACAAAGAGGCGAATAAGACAAAGCTGGTCAGAGTCACTTTAATCACATTGCGTTTTTGTGAAAATACAGATTTTGAAATGCTGAACGTGCCGCAAAGTTTGTCGGGCAAGCTGCCGAGACGCGCGGAGCTTCTATTTTGTTGCCAGTTGCCTGGGTTGCTAATGGAGATGGCTGCCTCCGTGGCCTTTGACCCCTTATTGATTAGCAGGCCCCAATGGAGAGAGGCATTAAGAGTGACACTGCCAAACCAACGAAATGTTTTTTTTTTTTGGGGGGGGGGCACCAGTACGGGTTAAGGATTATTCACAGAGATAATAAAAACAAAGATAGAGGCAGGGCTGTGTGGGATTCGGGCAGGGTTGGGAAATAACACAGCGGATGTTTGTCTCTTCCCCAGCTGTGCCTTCGTCGGGGCAGAGGAGGGTATTTTTGTTGTGTCGGTCACTCGCAGCTCTGGCCATTGCCCTTGCAGATACAGCCTCCGGTAGGCTTCTAACTCCGCGTAGCCTCAGGAAGCAAGGAACGCCCGATCATGACTCCCGTGGAAGTTTATAAGCCGTGCCTTGCAAGGCGCGGCTACCGTGTGGCGCATTTTGCCGCACATGGCTAATCATGCCTTCGCATGCCTCGTCAATCTCGAGGAGCGATAGTTGCTCCAAAGTGATGTGCGTGCGTTGTTGTTGTTGTGTTGGCAATTGTTTGTATGTCAGAATCAGAATGTTTATTTATACTGTGAGGAATCCAATGAGCTATGAAGCTCTTTTTTTCACAGATGTCACGGCGTGGCGGGTTAAGAACGTTACAATAACAAACAGTACAAAAGCATGATAGTGGTGCAAAGTAGAAGAAAGGTAAACAAATCGCCCAAACACTTACAAATGCAACATTAAACCATCCCCATCCTACCAGGCAAAGCCCACTGAGGTATTCACTTATTGTTCAAAAGCGACCTGGCTACAAATGATAGCTCAACAAAGTGGCCCATTATTTATAGCAGCTAAATAATGTAAATAGTCTAAATGTATGCGCGTAAATATGTTGAACTTCTCTCGCATCGTACGTAGCCAGCCGTGGCCAAACAATCTTAATTTGAAGCTTTCGTGACTGAAGGAATCCATACTCTTTGGTTCTTTCGATAAAGTCACGTAGGTATTTTATTTTATACCCACGTGACTTTATTTTATACCCACGTGACTTTATTTTATACCCACGTGACTTTACCGAAAGAACCAAAGAGTGTGGCCAAACAAGTTTCATGCCTCGATGATTGCGCACGGTGGTTTGGCGAAGCTCGTGTGGAGGAATTCTAATTACGATGGAATAGAACAACAACGTACGGTAAATATTGCAGCTGATGGGGGGGGGGGGGGTTTCTTTAAATCAGTATTGAAATAGGCTGTGCTCTGCTCAAGCTGCATCTTCATTCTCATCTATCTCAAGCGGACGTACGACAATGCATTGCATGATTTGTAAGTTGTGGCTTGATTGCGCGGACAAGTTAGTGCACCTGAATGTTATAAGATGCTGATAAGAATGTTTTCGTTATTTGCGTTGTTTGTTGAGATTGCCCGAGTAGAAAACGTACACAGGTAGTCCCCGGGTTATGGAAGATCCTACTTACGGAAATCCGACTTTATGGAAATGCTCCATTAAATCGTGTTACAAAAAAAATATGCGGAAATGTTTGCGTTAGTTACGTAAGCGCAAATAGCGCAGCGCGGTGAGGTTGCGGATGAATACCGCGGAACGGGGCGGCAAGACAGACAGAGGGACCACTGCAGGGCTGCAGTGGGAGCGATGCATCCCTGCCTTTAGAGTTTAGAAACCACGACTGCTGATGTTGACCCCCGATGATGTAATAATGCCCGTCTCCCCTCCTTCTTTCTCATCTAACAATTAAGTCCTTCGTCATTCACAACTATTTCCGGCTATTCGATGTTGTCTCGATCTTGGGGAACATTTGTTCAGTTGCTGACATACGGAAAATTCGGGTTATGGATCGTTCTCGGTAACCTGACCCTTCCGTAACCCGGGGAGCTAACGTACAACACCATGGATTTATAGAAGGGAAAACAACCCCTTTATACTGCACAGTATATGTGCACCTATGCAATGCATATATTAGTGTGCTGTGAGTGTTCTTAAAAGCACACCTTTGTGACTGGCTGCCTTTAAAGACACAGACACTTTAATTGGCCAAACATGTTTCAACGTTTAGCATCGGATAAAGGACCTTGTGATTATTTTTGTTTAACATTAATTGCTGACGCTTTGCGGGAGGCTTCAGGGATATCTTGTGAAGTGCTAATTTGCATTACTGATTGAATATTTATTTTAGCTAATTGCATGCCTTATCTTTCGTTGGCATTATGGCATACATTTGCACCGCAACTGTATGTATGCATGTTGAACTGTTTTCCACCGTACGTAGCCAACCGCGACAGTCGGAGGTGCTGGGGGAAGGGCAACAAACTAACACACAAAAAGTTGGTCTGTATCTATGCCACTGATGTCAGTTAGATAGAGTATATCCTTACTGTGTGTGTTATTCTGTACAAGTATATCATTCTTTAATTTTAAAAAATGTGGAATGCAAAGTACAAGCAGCTTCCTGCAGGATACCTGGCAAAGCCCGAATGTTCTGAGCTGCCTGGCAGCAGTTTCAGGCTCAGTAGTGCCACACTATTGCAGATAGATTACTCAAAAATACGTTAAAATCGCAACCTGTCGTGATATGGAGTGCTCTTGTGGTGTCAATACCATGACCAATGCTGCTGCAACAGTCACTAATCGTGCATTTTTATAGAGTATAAATATTAATGCCACAGTGGTGTCACCAGATTTGTTTTTGCATGCAGTATACGGGACTAATTTTATTCTTCAAAAAGACTGGCCCCTGCCACAGAAATGTGGAAGTTTCACCCCTGGATCAAAATCAATAACGAAGATGAATGTTTGCCAACGTTGATGACGACACCAACTAATTTGAAAACAACTTTAAGGTGCTGAATACACGTGCACCATATGGTTGGTTTTACATCCTAGTATTGAGTACTTGCCATGGTTTAGAGCCGAGTCAACAATTCATTGCCACAGCATCACTCTAATTATCTGGCCATGCTCCGTGATGGAAAGCGGTTGTTAACATGCTGCAATATCCTTTCAAAGAAGATAAAGTCCGTATGTAGGTGTCGGAATCCAAATATCCAATCTGAATATTACCCACGGCCGAATGGCATAAACATTAAGTATACTCTATATCATTTGCATGGTGGGACAGTGGTGGTGGCGGTGGTGCAGCGATTAGCGCGCTGTGCTACAAACCCTGCGACCCGAGTCCCATTCCCGCTGACAACCACCAAAACCAGAGACGATTATCTGGACGGATCCTGGGCCTCCCCTAGGTCGACTCAGACTCGAATGAATACCATGGTGCAATGTGTAAACATCGCCACTGGGGAGGCGAAGGCAGTCGGGCGTAGTGTTGACCACCCACCCACTCGTGTGCTGAGAAAGTTAATAGAGAACTGGAATATAAATCACAAAAAATAATATGGTAATGCGCGTATACCCCATTGAATAAATGGCATTGATTTATTTGTATAAGGGCACAACAAGACGTTAAATAGTGGCGTGTGTATTTTCTTTAATGGAAAAATCAGGAAAAACAGGATATCATAACAAAACAGGGTGACCGTGATTAAAACAAACTGTAAGACCCTTTTTTTTCTGAAATATCATCCCAATCCTGCGTATGTTTTCACAGGCATCCTCCGAGATAAAGACGCCAGAAAAATGAATAGGTGGAGGTGGTGTGGGTGGCGTGAAACCCAGCGGATTCCTGCCCAACGCTCCGCAGCCCACCGCCTCTATCAGCGACAGCGGCGGCGGTCGAAGCGGGCGCCCGTGGTGTGACCAAGTTAAAACAACAGCCTCCCCGCGCCGCGCGCTGCCCCATCAAATCGAATGCCTCCACGTGACACGACGCCTCCTTCCGTCACATTCCGGGAGATGCCAGCGCGTGTGACTGGAAAGGCTCCTGTTTGACTCCAGAGTCTATTTGCTCTTGTCTCATTTTGCAAGCGTCACCCCGGCACTGGTCTTGATGGCACGCCAGCCCCCGGGCAAGGTTAAGCAATTGCAAGCCTTCCTCATTGGTGCTGTGCTGCTGCTGCTGCTCCTGCTCCTATGTTTCATTGTTCACTCCCTTACCGATTGAAGTCTGTATGCAGCTCTGCTCACCTGTCAGCCCTGGGTGCCATTCTAGGCAGGGATATCGTAAAGCTGTGCGGATACCATTCTCGTATGCTACGTGCAGATCGTGTAATTTAATTCCAAATGGCACAACTTGTTGCAGCACGAACAACTTTTAAGGAGCATTTGTTAATCCGTTTGGGAAGAGTGTAGCTGCCCACTTGATTATCCTGGGATCGGGTAACTCCGCGTAGAGTCACGTTCAGGACTACCAGTGGAGAAATGTCTCCCAGCGAGGATGCACGCTGGATCCGTAAATGAAGAAAGGACACGTGCATTTTTGTTTATGGATCATGTGAATAGTTGACCAAAGTCCTTCGAAGATATGAATGTAGTTATGTCCTCAGTGGTGAACGTGACATGTAGTCCTCTGCTCTATAGAGTAAGACAGGAAACACAAGGACCTTGACGTGTATCTTTGCCCTTTAGCTTAGATAGTGGCAGCACCACTCTTGTTTTTACAAATCCAATGACGTCAAAATAGGCCAGTCCTACTCACATGATTAAGCTTAGACCACTGTGATGTTTGGTAAGGAACATATCATTTTATTTATTTTAGCACAGCCTATATAGAGCAACTATGACAGATTCAGTTTCAACTTATTTAGTCGTGCAATTACAATGCTTGAGAGTTGGTGAATTGCAGATACACCCAAGGCCTTCAAATTTATATTTTGGGCAATGCAAAGTTTTGTTGTCAAGGTTCGTTGTTTATAGTCGCAGTTGTACACGAGTTTTAATTTGACCACAATTTTGTGCATTAGGAAGAGATGAGGGCAGTGGATAATAGCAGGGTCTTTGAGGTTCCATTCCTAAATGTTTCCCTAAATTAATTGCTCTCTCTCTCACGTGTTTACCATCTCCAAATTGTACATTCGTTGTCACACGGTGTTTTGTTCTTCTCATTAGCACTGTAAAGCACTTTGGGATGTTTTTTTAATATTTAACCCACTCAATGAACGCAATTCCCTATCCTAGAGTTCTTCACCAACTTTAAACAGGAAGCATCATGTCATTCACAATTGTGGCACGCCTAAGTTGGTAACATTGGCTCTGACCTCATCACCTGCCTCCACGTATCTATAAAATTACGCACTTCAAACACTGTGAAGGTTGGGTGATGTTGGTTTCGCCCACAATATGATAACTATTAAGCAGTACTACATTGTTCTTATATATAAATAGGCTGGCACAAGCCCATCCCATGGATGTGTGATTAGTTTTGTAAACTATCATGTGTATATATTAATAAACTGGAACCAGCCCATCCTCTGGGTGTGATTAGATTTATAACCCATAATCCCTCCAACATCCGGTCACCTTTGACCTCATCAGGTTTACCCGAGTACAGTTTGCGAAAGCCACACCGCAATTGACTTGGACTTTAGTGACAAAAATGACATCTCAGTTAATTACAATTTGCATTGTGGTTTAGGCAAGATTTACCTCATACATACTACATGCTGGAACTGACTTGCATTAAATATTGAAGTACAGTACAGTATAAACATATGCTACTATCTAATGGTAATATGATAGCATAATAAATATTTCATTATAATAATAGGGTTTTTCCCCTTTTTTCTGGCAACAAAACTGAAACCTTTTTTTACAAGGATTCATGTTGCTGCATTAACCACAATACCTGCAGTCAAAATGCAAAAAAAAATACTATGATAATATATGCATTGTCCTTGAAACTGATTGGTCCACACCAAGGGACGGCTTTCTTTTGAGCCTCGACCCAATTGGTGCTCGACCAGATGACTGTGCCACACAACTATGTGACACCTTTTGGCGTCATCTGGTCGAGCACCAATTGGGTCGAGGCTCAAAAGAAAGCCGTCCCTTGGTGTGGACCAATCAGTTTCAAGGACAATGCATATATTATCATAGTATGTTTTTCGTTTGCATTTTTACTGCAGGTATTGTGGTTAATGCAGTAACATGAATCTTTATAAAAGGTTTCAGTTTTGTTGCCAGAAAAAAGGGGAAAACCCCGATTATTATATTTTGGTACTGGCAAAGGAGGTCTAATGAAATATTTCATTATCAATATTTAGTCCAATTAAGCTGTTGCTCGTCTCTGTACAAGGGAATCACAGAAGCTCTGTAACTGACACATGGAAAATTCAGTTGATATCTATGCGTCAGCACGCTCCAAAACCACAACACCTCCCGAAGTAACGCAAACTCGCCTACGTTTCAAATTGGCAAAACTTAATAGTTTACATTTAGCTACATCTTAATTTTGGAATGCCTATTCACGTCCCAGGGACCCAATACACAGTCCAAGTGGCCCCACGCGTAAACAACGATGACAAACTAAGTAGTACTTTGACATGTTCATCACCAGCCATGATCCTATCCACTGCTGGATGAAGACTTCTCCCAGCTGTTTGTTGCCCCACATGCTCACGTGATGAAGCAATTCAACCACCAGCCGGTCTCTCTCATCGTTCCATCTCCGGGTTTGACGTCCCCTCAGGGCAAGGTCGCTCCTTTGCTTTGGACTTGGCGTCAGTCTCGGCCACCTGAATGTGAAATTGTAAGTTGTTGCTCTGCATTTACATCCGCCGTATACCAAGAAGAAGAAGAAGAAGAAGTTTTGGCCACAAACGATACGATCATGCCTTCTAGCGATGCGTCCGACCCAAACTACCTTTTGTTTACGGTCAATATGACTCATCTGACTTGCGGATGTTCTCCCGATGCAGAGATGTTCCTATTCTGTGTCTCAGTGAAATTAGGCTCATTCTCAGTGAGTCTCATCTGCCATCACTGTCAAAGGATCACAGTTGTACGTGTGTATTTGAAAAAGCAGCGTTCCTTGTATAACCGAATGAAAGAGCATCAATAACAATACTCATTTTCCCTTTTGCGATGGAGACCCATGCGTAAGTAATTATGCGGGGAGAATTATTTTAAAATACAGTTTGAGGTAAAAAAAAAACACACACACACGCACACACATTGCCTTCAAGCTATGGCCGTAACACACGTAGCAACAGTGTTCGAAGCATGTCACATCATTTCATTCCTAATCCATAACAAATGGCGCACTCTCCCTCAAGCATTGCTGGACCACCGCAGAGAAAGCGACCGCCACAAACCGACTCGGCGGTGGCGAGTAGGAGGCCGACCATTCATAATTAATCGATCGTCCGTCGATGAGAAAACAAATCACAAGATACGCCACGCCACCTCAGAGTTCATCTCAAATGCCGTCCTCTCGACGATGAAGGCGCCGCCAGGCAAGGCACTTGACGCCGACGTCCGCCGGACTTCTTTCGCACCGTGCGCAGCCCGCCGTGCCAAGCGGAGGTGCGTGCGGTGAAGGATGGCCGCGCAGGGTGGATTACAAAGCTGCAGGACACACATCTGGTTCCTTTTGCCGGCTGCAGCGACGTCCGCGAATGAGGGAAATGCGTTCACCGTAGAAGCACCGGGCGCTCAGTGTTCAATTCAACTTTCGAAGAAAATTTCTCGGTAACAAGAAGAAGAAGAAGAAGAAAGCACATTTCACTTCAATTAACATCTGCTAAGGAAATGAACATAATGTAGTAATGTCGTATGGAGTTTTAGGGGTCTTTGGACCATTTTTTTTGTCTCTAAGTAGACAGCCACACATGGAGAACTTTTCCATGGATTGCCTTTCTAGACGGTGTATTTTCTTTATGCCCGCCAGATTTCTCTGAATAACCGTGAATGCACAACCTCAGCCGTGCCACAATCAAGTAGCATTTGCATGTCGCCATTGACAGCGTGTAGGTTAAAGTGTGACGTGTTCATCTAATAGACCAAAGAAATGCGTGAATTTCGGTCCTCAGCTGCTAATCACAACCACCATGGTTACTGGTTCCCGTGAACGCTATAATCCCTCCACCCATGGCATCGACCAGACATCCACCACACCGTGTTCAACCACCACCACCACCACCGCCACACTGTGTTCTACCACCACCACCACACTGTGTTCAACCACCACCAACACCACCACCACCACACTGTGTTCAACCACCACCAACACCACCACCACCGCCACACTGTGTTCTACCACCACCAACACCACCACCACCACACTGTGTTCAACCACCACCAACACCACCACCACACTGTTCTCCCACCACCACCAACACCACCACCACCGCCACACTGTGTTCTACCACCACCAACACCACCACCACCACACTGTGTTCTACCACCACCAACACCACCACCACCACACTGTGTTCAACCACCACCAACACCACCACCACCACACTGTGTTCAACCACCACCAACACCACCACCGCCACACTGTGTTCTACCACCACCAACACCACCACCACCACACTGTGTTCAACCACCACCAACACCACCACCACCACACTGTGTTCAACCACCACCAACACCACCACCACCACACTGTGTTCTCCCACCACCACCACACTGTGTTCTCCCACCACCACCACACTGTGTTCAACCACCACGCCCACCACACTGTGTTCTACCACCCCCACACTGCCGGTCACAGGAGTCCTTTCTAGATTTGAAGTTTTCGTGACTACAAGGATCCATACTCTTTGGTTCTTGCGGTAAAGTCACGTATTTCAATTTTGTATTTTTTATCTTATATATATATTTTTTCACCTACGTGACTTTACCGAAAGAACCAAAGAGTACACAGCAGTCTTCTCTCTGCTTCTTCTCTCGCACTGCTCCACCTTGGAGCCTTTCCCTCCGATCATGCCCTTTACCCGAGCTCTTACAAACCTTGCTTGCTTTAAAAAAAAAACGCGTTACTCGATTTTGTATTCCTAATTTAATTGTGCCGTTTGTTGCTGACGGCTAAACGTTTTGGGCATTAGGGCCTACTGTGCTCAGTAGCCATGATTGAAATCTAATACGCAGTGCCTTGTGTTACTACAGGGAGGAGGTGGGTCAACAACAGATCCATTGCAATTCAGTACAAGGTGGTCCAGATGTATTGTGACCCGAATTTAATTCTACTAAATTGTAATGTTTTTGTTTATTTAAAACAGAAATGAACATGCAAAGGACAAAACACATGTTAGGGGTCGACTAATAGGGGGTCACAGGCCATTTGGATCGCCCTGTAGATTACCTGATTACATTTGAAGAGACAATGTTAGCAAATGCAACATATGTCAATAATTATGGAGGTATGAGGTTTCAAAAGCCTTGGGTTTGGTTCTTGCAAAACAGGTAGACTGGGTTGGGTCGTTAATATACATGCTGGGCAAAAGTAAATAACACCACTTACATTTACACGTCACATGGAGCAGCAGCATGGTTAATCTAAGCTCACGTGAATATAAATGCGTCGTGAAACCCGCCACCACCCGACACAGCAAGTGTGCTGAACGAGTAACTAATTGGCATGTTTGGTTTACGTGACAAACCTTACTAACTGGCTGTGTCGAGTGGTGGCAGGTTTCACGACGCATTTATATTCACGAGATATAACCCAAAAAAACCTCTTATGGATAATGTTGGTCGCGAAATCCTACGGCTACTACACGTTAAACTGGCAATCCGAGATGATGGGGAAACAAACGTTCACTTTACATTTTGATTTAAAGCTTTTGTGACTGCAGTGATTCATATTCTTGGTTCTTTCGGTAGTCACGTTGAAGGGAAACAATAAAATAATAATATATATAAAATTGACTTCTCCAAGACAGAGGTTCTTTGCAAGCCATCTGGCTACCATGAGAGATTCGTTCATGAGGCTATCCACATATGCAAACACAGAGACAATTTCAACCAAGAAGATGGATTCTGGCTTAGCAATCATTGGAAGGATTTGATAAACCATTTTGCGTCTTAATTGATTGTTCACACTTACGGTGGCTTTCAGACAGCATACATTAATTTTTCGTCTCCCCCCTCCTCTTTTCCGAACATAGATGGACTCGTCCATCTAAACAAACTGTCAAATCGCTATCCGTGGTGCTAACGTTTAAAAAATAAATAAATACAAACCGCCACTTCTTTCAAATGTTCTTTCCGTTGGTTTTCACACCTGATGATGACTGCTTGTGTTGCAGTCGAAACGTCGTGAGAATTTTATTGTTTTCTAAATATTTTATTATTTTATTGTTTCCCTTCAACGTGACTTTACCGAAAGAACCAAGAATATGAAACGTTCACTTAGTTTGTGTCGTGTTATGTGTCTTCACTGCCACCGCTGTCACCGCCGTGTAAACATTAAAATAACAGCGATTTGGCATCAGTGCCCATTATGCACGAGCCAGGACTGTGCACGCTGTGAATGGGAACGATCGGTTGTTTGATGTTGTTTTGCATCGCATCCCGCAAGCTTCATAAAAGTCAGCGACATTCTTGTCTGTAATTATGATACCCCCCCCCCCCCAACAACGAATAAATACATAAATTAAAAAGTTACTCATGCATTCACATTTTTGTACTCAAATGTGATGGTATCATGTGAGCGATGCCAATGGAATATGCTGTGCTCGTTGATATCTGTGCATTTCTATTGGTCGAGCTGAGGAGATCCGCCCGTGTTTATGTTAAATCTGTTTGATTGACGCCTCCAACTAGGTTTTATCTTCGCTTTAGCAACATTGGTCAGATTTGCGGTCACACTGCTTGGGATGAATGTCGTCCATTTCTTCCTGATAGATCTT